ATTTTCCCTATGGTGTAAGTAAAATATACAATTTTATAAAGCTTTCATTCAATTATTTGTACATATTAAAGAGTAATATCCTACATTTATATTTGTATGGCTTTTTATTAGTCATATGTTTTGGATATCTGACAAAGACCCAAATAATCATTTTTAGTTCTCAAGAACTTTTTAATATATTATAGAGAATCAAGGAATCATAAAAATTGTGAGGTTACATTTAGACTTTAGAGTAACAAGTTGATTATGTCAATGATTCAATATTTTGATTTGCCTTGAGAAACCATGTACATTGGGATAATTTTCAAATCCTTATTCGTAGCTAAGCTATACCTCCCCTAAACTTGTTCTTGCATACTTTACTGCCTCCTAAAGTCTCCACTTAGACATATTTCAGTTAAGATGAAACTCTATGGTAGTTCTTTTTTAAATTTTTATACATGTTACCCTCAGTAAGTTATTTCATTAAACATTAAAACATGTTTGTAAATTTATATGTAATCTTTGGAAGCAGGAGAGGCATCCACTTCTTAAACAACACGCCTCCGGAAACTTTATGAACTTTGATAAATGTCGATAGTTGTAGAGGGGCTTCAGTCAGGTGTTTTATTCCTAGGGACGCTATGAGTCATGCTCGACTCGAAGGCAAACAACAACAATACTGACAATCTCCAAAGATAAACATTAATGGAACTTATAAAATATTTTTAATAATAGGTAATAATAATGAAAACTAAAAACACAATGAAGTATTCAACTTTATATCAAAGCCAGTTACAATGGAATCTTTGGATTTAGAATCCTGTCCTAAGGTATCAAATACCTCTATTTATCTTTTAGGTATAACAATGCAAATACTTCAATTATGTGAATTAACTTTCTCACAAAACTTACATTGACAATGGTTATTTCAGTTACACTCCTCTGCTTCAAAATCATGGGCATCGATTCACCTGGATCCCTCTCTTTATCTTGGATACATGTTGTTTTTTTTTAAAAAAAGCTTTATATAACCATTCTATTAATTTGTCTTTCCTTATCTTTATTCACTGAAAGTTAAATTATATTTATTCAAATCTTCATTATTTCTTTCTGTCCATTTTGGACAGTTTTACGTTTGAATATCAAGAAAGCATTCTACAATTAAAAATTAAAAGCTACAATATTAACATCTTTTGTCTCACTTTTTTTGTCTTTTAAGCTAAATATTCCTAGGTTATTCTTGGAAATTATGAAAGCAATAAAATAATAAATTCAAGAATAAGATAAAGGCCTGAATTATACAAAGGCTTCTTTTATCTTGCACTTCAGTTTGTTTCATCTTCCAACATCCTATGAAGTAGTAAAAGTTTCTAGAGCTCAAAGTAATCTCATATATATTATTCTCATCATGAAAATTTATTAATAGATTTGCATATGTTGATTCTTCCATTTAAAACTTATTTTTATAACATCTAAAATTGCGTATTTCCTTCAAAATTAAGCTCATAGCAATGATAAAATTATTCAGTAATGATTATTGTCTCTTCAATGTACTTACACTTTTAACTAATTTCTCATGACTGTATTTTTAAAATGCATTATAATTTTTCATATATTCCTTTGTTTCCATGTTTGGACTGGGATTCTTTCTGTAAAACTGTGATTGGTTGCCTCTTAATGCTAGGTCTAGTCAAAGTATATACTGAGTTGATAGTATAGAGTTAATATTCTTTAAGTGTTGATAAAAGCACAGTCTAATATATGGATTCACACCAATAAAATACTTATTTTAATGGAGATAAAATAATTATGAAAGAAAATTCAATTATATATAAGCAGGAAGAATGATAATACTTGATATCACTCATATTAAATAATGAAATAAGTATTACATACGTTTTGTTCTTGTTTAGCAATTAAATTTTAAAGTTTTTATTTTATGCAATAAATTCCTAGTCTCCAAATGATAGTTTGTGTAACTGTAAGCTACTAACAATCTCAATGAATTCCTATTTATCTAAATGTTGAACAATGAATAAGGATGACAGAAAAAGAATTTATGTCTTTGAACTTTGGTGTTGGGAGAAGAGTACTGGATATCAGCAGGACTGCCAAAAGAACAAACAGAGAAGTCCTGGAGAAAGTGCAACCCGCGTGCTCCTTAAAGGCCAGGATGGTTAAACATTGTTTTACGTACTTTCAGCATGTTATTTGGATGGGGTAGTCTTTGGAGAAGGACATCATGCTTGGAAAAGTCAGCAGAAAAAGAGAAAAACCCTCAACAAGATGGATTGACACAGTGACTAACAATGTGCTCAAGTATATCAGAGATGATGAGGATGGCACAGGATAAGGTAGGGTTTAAATCTATTGTTCATAGGGTTGCTATAAACATCCTTGATTCTTATAACTCAACAGTAACACATTTACTATATCTTATACCTGTTGTAGCAGTTGTGTGCTGTTGAATCAGAACAAATTCAAAGCTGACCTTTCAGCAGATTTTCAGAAGTAAATCTCAAAGAAGGAGACTGCCCATCTTGAATGTAAGAGCTAGTGGTCTGAGCAAGCCTTGGGGATTGACATTCTGCTTTGCTAGTCTTCCTTCGGCTCCGCCCACGAGAAACAACACCACTCTCTCCCATGGAGCAGCTGGTGAATTCTAACCATGTGACTTTGAGTTGGTAGCACAGAATCTTACCACTAGGACATCAGAGATTTCTATATCTCCATCTGTACCGACATCTACATCTCTCTATATACCCACATACAGCATATAAACAAAAAAAAAATATACATGGTATATACATACGTATGCATGTATATAGATATACATATATGTGAGTATATGTTGTTGTTGTTGTTATGTGCCATCGAGTCGTTTGCGACTCATAGCGACCCTATGTACAAGAGCTCTAAATGCTATTCTACCCTGTGCCAACCTAGCCATCTCAAATGCACTTATTCTCACTGCTCCAGTCACAGAATCGATCCATCTCATCGAAGGTCTTCCTCTCCTTCGCAGCCCCTCCACTCTGCCAAACATGATGTCTGTCTCCAAGGACCAGTCCCTCCTTGCAACATGTCCTAAGTATGCCAGACGAAGCTTCAGAATCCTTTACTCCAAGGATCATTCAGGCTTCACTTCTCCAGGACAAACCTGTTTGTTCTCCTAGCAATCCATGGTATATTCAACACTCTTCCCTAGCACCACAGCTCAAAGGCATCAATTCTCTTTCTATCAACCCTATTCAGTGTCCAACTCTCTGATGCATAGCACATAATTGCTAACACTATAGCCTGGATCAGGCACACCTTAGTCTCCAGTCTGACGCCGTTGCTCTTCAGTACTATAGATATACATATATGTGAGTATATAGTTGTGTATCTATATCTATCTATCTATCTATCTATCTATCTATCTATCTATCTATCTATCTATCTATCTCATCACTGTTTGAAGTCTATTTAAACTCATAGAGACCTTACTTAGGGTTCCTATGATTCTGATGCTATAATTTCTTCACAAGAGGAGACTACCAAAGTTCATCTTGAGATTTGAAACACCAGACTTCAAAGCAGAAGGACAAAATATAATTCAGTATGGCACTATTGCCACCAAGCACACAAACAAACTGGCTA